TCTGCTGGTCTCACAACCATCCACGATGCTCACAGCTTAGCTGCTGGAATAGAAAGACAAATAAATACTACCCGAACAATGAAATTAGCAAGCTAATACAGGTTTCTACAAAGTTCTTTGGGAAGACATATGGAAGGGAAGAATTTGTTCTCTCTGGGGGAGGAGGGGTTGGAAAAGTTTCATAAAGTTGCCAGAATGCTTGGGAACTTGTAAACTGGTTCCATAATTATGGTTGAAGGTGGAAAATAGATCCCTGCGTCAAGCACCGGTGGTTAGTTTGCGGGGCCATGGCAGCCATTGTCCACGTCATCACTGCTTCCAGATTGGCCCATCCGGGTGCCAGGAATTTAGCCCAAATGCCTGCTGGTACCTGCCTAAGCGATGGCAACCTAGTCAGCACATTGTTTCGTTAAAATCCTGTGTGTGTGTGTGAGTAAAAACTACTTCACATAGTCACAGTTTTTATCTCACATGCTATAAATTTAAATGAAATCAATGCATTTTCAAGCTTATGGCTACACGGAATAGGGTAGTAACTCCTAATTATATGTTCTCTTCCTGCTCTTGTCTCTTAACTCCAGGCATCCCTGGAGGCAGCTTTCTCTATATTCTCTCCCTCAGGGAATTCGTCCATTTTCTAGGCTGGAACTACTGTAAAATTCCCATACAATTAAGCTTAAAACTACAAGCAAAGCATGGCTTTAAAACGTATCGTACAAAACCTCCTTCGTCTGCTCTGGAGGGTGGTTATGAGGGGAGGCACAGTGGGCAGCTGGATACCCGGATACCGTGTTGCAGCTCCAGCATCAGGCAATTAGGAGGCTTCTAAATGGCTCCATTTCCTAACTGCGTGGCCTTGGGCAAGTTACTTACTTAACCTCCTTAAGCCTACATTCCTGATCCATAAGAGAGGGAAAACAGTACACCAGTAGTAGGACTATTGTGAGAGCTAATGAAATAATGCAAAAGCACTTAGCGACTGGTTTGTAATGTTACCAGTTAAGAACGGCAGGGTGAAACAATTTGGGCGACAGTGATTCGCAACCTATGAAATGCTATGAAAATGTGAAATATTATGATGATGATGTATAACGCCAAGTGAATTCCAAAAAGCTCAGTAGAAAGAGAAGCAAACAGGAAATCAGGACAGCCAGATCCTGACACTACTCTTGCCACTAACTCGCAGCGTGACCTTGGACCAGTCTCTCCCTTAGCCTCCTCTTTCTCGCTTGTAAATGAAGCAGTTGGATTGAATTATCTCCAAGATCAATCCCAGCTCTGAAATTCTATGACTCCACGAATGTTGGAGCAAGTAAGTGACATAGCAAATCTTACACAGTTCTTGGAATAGAAAGGAAGGTCAATATGTATTATGTGTATCAATAACCAAAGTTCATCCCTGTGGTTGATAAAAGTTAATCCCAACTGCAACAATCAGAAAGAACAATCTGCAGGAATTCAGTGAGAAGGCAAACTACTCCCACACACTTCAGGAATCTTGGAGGACGTACTTGTGGCAGAAGGTAATGATTTATATCTATTTAAAAAAAATT